GTTTGAATTTTCAATAAATTGGTTAGTTTCATCTAAGATGTCAAATTTATGTATGTAAAGTTGTTTGTTGTATTTCCTTATTATACTTTTGATATTTGTAATGATAGCCTCTATTTCATTCCTGAAATTGCTTATTTTGTCTTCTCTTACTTTTTTTTAAATTTCTTTATTGATTTCAAAGAGGAAGGGAGAGGGAGAGAGAGAGAGAAACATCAATGATAAGAATCATTGATTGGCTGCCTCCTGCATGCTCCTACTGGTAATTGAGCCCGAAACCCAGGCATGTGCTCTGGGCCAGAATCGAACCTGGGACCCTTCCGTCCACAGGCAATGCTCTATCCACTGAGCCAAACCAGCTAGGGCTCTAAGTCAGTTTTTAGAGCTTCAATCAAAAGCACAAAGTATTTCACTAAAGTTTTCCTCCTTGATTGCCAAAGGACTTTGATCCATGTTCACACCAACTCTTTCTTTCTAAAAAGGAGAAAATAAAAGTTTAATAATTGTGCAAGGGGAATTCACATAGACGTAATAAATCCATGACATGACAATCTCCAAAAACAGCACACCACTAACTCTTGAGAATGGCAAAACCAGAGCTTCATATCTCTGCTATCTTTACTCACAAATAATAGTCAAGAATCAGTCCTAATCTATCTCTTTAATCTCCTATGCTTTCCTTCTTCTCTCATGATAATTTTAAAAAAAATTTTCATTATTTTTTTAGCTGTTTTCATCAGGGTATGATGGGTACATAATGCAGCATTAGCAAATGGTAACACATAGCATAGCATATTCTGTACCTTTCCCCCCCTTAGTATATTTGGGATATATCTCTTTATCAGCACATTCTGTTTTATTGCTGTATAAGACTCAGTGTATGAAAGTTCCTTATATTCTAGACACCTGGTCCTTTTCCAATTTTTGCTGTTATTAACAATGCCACTACGAATAAACTCATCATATGGTGTTATTTGTCCAAGTAGTTCTATAGGTTAGACTCCAAGTAGTTGTATGTATCAAATAGTAAATACAAAGTAAATTATTTGATATTGCCAAAAGTCCCCATCTTATTTGCTCAAAAAGAATGAAAAAATTAGCCCTAACTGGTTTGGCTCAGTGGATAGAGTGTCAGCCTGCGGACTCAAGGGTCCCCGGTTTGATTCCGGTTAGGGGCATGTGCCTTGGTTGCGGGCACATCCCCAATGGGGAGTGTGCAGGAGGCAGCTGATCAATGTCTCTTTCTCATTGATGTTTCTAACTCTCTGTCTATCTCCCTTCCTTTCTATAAAAGATCAATAAAATATATATTTTTAAAGAAGAATGAACAAATTAACCTGTTGCCTCATAGCTTCAACGGCCTATGTTGTTTGGTTTGGATTTTTGTCTTAATTGAATAGATGAGAAATATAACCCATTCAAGTAGAAGCATTTTATTACATTGACTTTCCTATCACTACTTGTAATTGGTTTCCTCTTATGACAATTGGTTTCCTCTTATTTTTCTGGTATTTCATTCTCAATCTCCTCCTCCTCTACCTATTATCTAAATAATAATTTTTTGTAGTTATTCTTGGACCCTCTTCTTTTCTCCCTTGTCATAATCTTCTTAAATTATTTTGCCCGTTCCTGTGGCTCCAATGCCATATGTAATTACATATAACGAATTTCAAATTTACTTTTCTGGTCTATACCTCTCTTCTGAACTCCAAATACCAATTTGATATCTCCATGTTGATGCTCTCAACCATCCCAAAATTCAATACAGCACTAACTTTAGGATCACCGTTCTCCTTCTCCAATCACTAAAATATAATTCAGACTTCCTAAAGCATAGTCAGTATCATCAGCTTCCAATTGCTAAAACCAGAAATTAGTATCCAATTAATTTTCTAATCCTATCTACATAAAAATATACATGTTTCCATTATTCAGGATGAGTAAGTTCTGGAGAGCTAATGCACAACACCCCCTTGCCTCTACCTTTACCTCTCTCCGTCATGGCCTGTTATAAAGTGAACTTCCCATTTCACCTCTTAGTACCCCTGCCTCCATCCCAGGTTTTCACAAAGGAGCGAGCATGAGCTTTTTAAAATGTAAGCTACATCATGTTACTCACCTTCAATGGACTCTAATTTTCCTTGGCACAAAAATAAAAATCATTGACATGATGGTAAGGGACTACATGACGAGACTGCACCTATAATCTCTAACCTCACCTCCCGCCATACGTTCTGCTCCAGAGGCACCATCCTCCTTAAGTTCCTCAAAATCTCCATCCTCCCTTCTACACAGGAAATCAATCAATATCTCTCTCGATCTCTCTCTGTGTGTCCCCCAAGAGACAGTAGCTCCATGAGGGCAAGGACATGGGTCTCTTTTTCACATTGTATACAGAAGTACCCAGAACTGTGCCAATTTGTACTTGTAAAGACTCATGTCGCCAAGAGTTATTAAGAGCCTGAGCTAAAAGTTGGATGTAAGAATTAGACATAGGAAACCTTAAAAATGAATAATGAATAGGATTTGATGAGTTATTCGACTTCAGATTAAGACACAGAGGTATCAGATATGACTAACGGCCTCCCCATGGAAAGCTAAGAAAAAAAATAAATAAAAATAAAACATTAGAAAGTCACCAACAGGTGTGAGGCAGCAGTGGCAGATTCACTTGCCAAGGCAATGTACAAAGTTCAGGGCCAGGGCGGATCATTAGAGAGAGAACATTGGGAAGTTGGAAGTATGGAATGGAAGCTCAGCAAGCCATCAGCTCTCAGTCAAACACTGAAGAGGTAGGAATGAATGAATTCCCTAAGGAGTAGATCAGCGTTTTTCAACCGCTGTTCCGCGGCACACTAGTGTGCCGCGAGATGTTGCCTGGTGTGCCGTGGGCAACTTGAAACTCGGGGGCAGGGGTGCATTCGGTTTTAGAGACAGAATGCTTATGTCCTGGGAAATGGGGATTCATATTTTCGTTTGTACAAGAGGATGGTACACAATCCTATATTAAACCCTTAAACGTCCTCTCTTGTCCTCTCACAGCCCTGAAGCCGGTGGACCTACACGCCACGTACCAGACGGGGCCCCTGATGGCCGTGGAGACCACGCGGAACATCGTGCTGCACTGGCGGGCCCACGGCTGGCCCCTGCGCTCCCTCCGCACGCCCGTGGCCTCCCTGCACTCCGTGGTCCAGGAGCTGGGGGGCCTGGCCGGGGGCCCCCACACCGTGGTGGTGCTGGGGCTGGGCGCGCACTTCACCACCTTCCCTCCGTCCATCTTTGTGCAGCGACTGGCAGGGATCCGGGCGGCCGTGGCTGCGCTGCTGGCCCGCGAGCCCCACACGCTCGTGGTCATCAAACTGGCCAACACGGGCTACAAGTCCGTGTATGGCAGTGACTGGTTCACCCTGCAGGTGAACCGGCTCCTGCGAGCCGCCTTCGCCGACCTCCGGGTGGCCTTTGTGGATGCCTGGGAAATGACCTCCAGCCTGGCCCTGCCCGACAGCATCCACCCCGTGAGGCTCATTGTCCAAAACGAGGTGCACTTCCTCCTCTCCTTCATCTGTCCCACCTGAGCGCCTCCCTGGATCGGATCCTGGGCGGTTGTGGATGAAAGCCATAGGGATGGTGAAGAGGGTCAGAGCGACAATGGGAGTCCGAACTCACAATGATCCGGAGAAGAGTGGCTACCCCGATGTCTGTTTGCTGTTAGCCCTAGAAGACAATCCTTGTGTACATTAATGAAAGATTTTACATAAATGAAATATTTTACATACCTTCTTTTAAGTTCACTTTGGGGGAAATTTTTACTGGTGTCATTGAAGATTACCCAATTGTAAGTAATAATGCAGAAAATCTCTCATGCACTTACTCAGTTTCTCCCAATGCTAACATCTTACAAAACTATACACCGAATGGCCAGATTATTATGATCTCTGAACGCATAATAATAATCTGGCCACTCGGTATATTTTAAAGGCCTGGTGCATGAATTCGTGCATGGGTGGGGTCCGGCCAGCCTGGCCAGGGGGTGGGGATAAGGGCAGTTGGCCGGCCTGCCTGCTGGTCGAACTCCTGGTTGAGGGGACAATTTGAATATTAGCCTTTTATTCTATAGAATATACACTGAGTGGCCAGATTACTATGTATTCAGAGATTATAATAATCTGGCCACTCGATGTATAGTGCTGCACGATATCTTGCCCATTGATACAATCCACCGATCTTACAGACGTGTCCCTAGTTTTACGGTACTCATTTGCATGTTTTTAATTTTATGAAAGTTTGTCATTTGTGTGGGTTTGTGTCTAATTTCTTAGCATCTGTTTTATAGCCTTGCAAAGGAGGTAAGACAAGGTCAAGGGTTTATACAAAGTGGCAAATCTAATAGGAGAGCCCTGAATAAACTAGAATCTCAACAGACTCTATCCTCAGGCTAAAGAGAATACAAAAATAGGACCTCAAACCCTTTCACTTCTCAATCCTCTTTTCCTTAAATCAACCAAAGGTAAACTATTCTCACCAAGGTAAATAAGAGCTTCTTTGAGGTAAATCCCATGAACCATTTTCAATCCTTACCTTTTGATGTTTTTCTCCTGCATAATGGGCCACTCCTTTCTTGCTGAAACCATCTCTTCTCTTGGCTTCATAATATTCAGATCCTTCAATTCAGATAACTTGAAAAATGAAGTCCACCGGAATCCATTTTGCTGGTGAAGGTGGTCACAGAGGCACCTAGTTTAAAAAAAAAAAAAAATATATATATATATATATATATATATATATATATATATATATATATATATATATATATATATATATTGTGTGTGTGTGTATATATATATATATATATATATATATATATATATATATGTTTCTTTCTTTAAATTAATTTCAGAGAGGAAGGGAGAGGGAAAGAGAGATGGAAACATCAATGATAAGAGAGAATCATTGAAAGGCTGCCTCCTGCACACCCCATACTGGGGATCAATCCTGAAACCTGGGCATATGCCCTTGACTGGAATCAACCTGGACACTTCAACCCGCAGGCCAACGCTTTATCCACTGAGCCAAACTGGCTAGGACGGTACCTCGTTTTCAATGGTGGTTGCAAGAGCAGGCTCCTGGCATAGAAATGGCATCCTTGGTCCGGTGTAAACCATTGAGGGATTTCTCCTGCTGTTCAGCCGGACATCAGTGGTGCTGATGGCATAAAGTACAGTTCCTGGAAGCTTAGCTTCTCCAGTCTCCCAGCAGTATGTGGGCTACTCAGGATCCTTTTATTAATGCCCCTTACCCTTTAATCAGCCAGAATTGGCTTCCATTTCTTGAAAGAACTTGGATTAATCAGAGTATGTAATTATGTGCCTGTTAATCACAGATTCACATGTTAGATGCTATAATAGAAGTGAGCTGTGAGAATGTACAAGACAGACATGTAACTCAGCCTTTGTGGTCTAGAGAAGAATTCCACAGATATCTGAGTTGAGTTTGATAAGATGATTGTGGATTACCTAGGCACAGAGTCTCAGAAGGGCACTCCAGGCTGAGAAACAGTGATGCTCAAAACTACACGATATTTTCAAGTTGGGAATGGGCCGAGACAAGTGGTCAGATAGCCAAGTTGACCAAGAAGCTCCCTGAGGACTTTATATACCATGCTCAAAATTATTTCCTTGACTAGTAGCAGGGCTAGAGCCCAGGCCTCTCAATGTATTGATATATACTCTGAGGATAAGGCAGATGCCTGAAACCACCTGGGTATGGTTTTAGGTGAGTATTTCTTTTGAATTTGGCACCCAGCCTTGCCTGAACACTTAAGGAAGAGTTAGCTGAGAGTGACCATAGCCTGTCATGGAACCCGCTGACCTGAAAGAAGCCAGCATGCTGGATCCTCACCTTGCAGTCTCCTGAGCCTGACTCCCTTCCCTTAGCCCTTGCAACTCTGATCCTACTCAGTCAAACTCCCGTTCCCCTCAGGGACCTTGTTATCTCAAGTTCTCCCCAAAACAGCTCAACTCCCTTCCCTGTGTCTTCTATGGTGTAGTTAACAGGGAGTTGACAAAGTCTTGTCTTACTATACTGGGAAAGAAAACATTTTGTATCCTTTAGCTTTGACCTTGCTGCTAGAAAACTTAAGGCTAAATTTACTGCTCACATGTAAGTGGGAAGAGGAAGTTATTATTCTTTGTCTGGGGGTTTGGACCAAACTGTTCTACAATGATTAAGCTCCTCTTGCCTACAGCCTTATTCCCACATTTCTTCTTTGCTGTTGTGTTCTCTAAGTTTATTCTGCGAAGAAGTGTGGTTTTTCTCTTTCTTACTGCAGCTGTCCTTTTCCCACATTTGATCTCATCTGGGCACTTGAGTGGCCACATCATCCATGTGTTTGCAGGTGCCATCAGCAGGGTGTTACCCTGTGAATTGCTATGAAGAGAAGAATCAAGACTTTACAGAGGAATGAGAGGAAGAACAGGAAGTGTTGAGAAGTATCCTGCAATGAGGTAAGAGGGCTTAGTTTTCAGAAAGAAAATTGAGCAAGAAAAAAGGACAAAGGGGTGGATGCACGTTTAGAAAATAGGGCATTTAGTGTAAATATCAGGCAACCAGTATTGATTAAAGTCACAGTCTGGCCCTAGCCAGCTTGGCTCAGTGGATAAAGTGTCAACCTATGGACTGAAGAGTCGCAGGTTCGATTCTGGTCAACGGCATATGCCTGGGTTGCCTGCAGAAGGCAGGCAATCAATGATTCTCTCTCATCATTGATGTTCTCTCTTCCTCTCCTTTCCTCTCTGAACTCAATAAAATATCTTTTTTAAAAAAAAGAAAGAATATCTTACTCCCAAGTAAAAAAACAACAAAACTTTAAGAATAAAATAAAAATAAGGTCACACAGTCTGGACAAACTACTGTTCTTAATGTTGTGTGGAATACAAATAAGGGCACAAGGGATGGGGTCTGGCTTTGAGAAAGAGATGTGTGCAGGGCTTCACAAATAGAATGCTGAGTATGAGACAGCATCTGAGTGGTCGGGAAGGTAGGAGACTCGGGCAGTTATTAAAAAAAAAAACAATATTGGATAGAACTTCAAGGAGGAGAAAGTGGTCAACAGTTTACATACTGCTGCAAATTTGAGCAATAAAATCATGGTGTATGATCTTTTTATTTTTGCTGGATGTGATTTGCTAATATTTTGTTGAGGATTTTAGCATCTATGTTCATCAGAGATATTGGCCTATAATTTTCTTTCTTTATAGAGTATCTGTTTTTGGAATTAGGATAATGTTGGCCTTGTAAAAAGAGCTTGGAAATCTTCCTTCCTCTTGATTATTTTGGAATAGTTTGAGGAGGCTCTATTTTTAATCTTATGTTTACTTACCCCTGTTTCCTTCAGTTTATCAATATCTGTATATTCACTCCTGATTAATACAAATACTCTCACATCCCTTAATCTTACCCCATGCACCACCTCCATTATGTTGATACTGTCCAGAAGTTAGTTATGAGTTATATGAATACACATATTTTCCTTCTCTAATCTTTGTTTTTCCTCATTTTTATTGAGATATAATTTATATTTAGTCAAATTCATAGATCTTAAGTATGTAATTAATTTGGACAAATGTAAATATCCATATAATCATCACTCAATTCAAGATAAAGAACATTACATGACACTATAAAACCTCACTAGAGGGTATGCTAGAGGCAGCTAATCAATGATTCTCTCTCATCATTGATGTTTCTCTCCCTTCCTCTCTGAAATTATTAAAAATATATTTACAAAAACAAAACACACCAAAAAACAAATTAAAAAAATATTCATTACTAGAAGCCAGTGGAACAATGCTTGCAAAGCTGACAAACTAAAAAAGTTAAGAATTTTACACTTAGCTAAAGTATTATCAACTACAAAGGCAACAGATAAACATTTCAAATCTATACTAATAAAGGGGTAGTATGCTAATTAGACCAGATGTCTTCTGGATGACCTTCCGGACATTCTTCCTGAAAAAGCCAGGCCGGGCAAAGCCACCTGCCCGCGGTCCCAGGCGCCAGCACCTGTGGCCTGGGAGACGGAGAAACATCACCTGCCCTGTGGTCATGAGCGCCAATGCCTGTGACCAGGAGACGGAGAAAAGCTGCCCACCCTGCAGTCCCAGATGCCTGCGGCTGGCCCAGGTGAAGCCAGCCCAGTGGACAGAGCATCGGCCCAAGAAGTAAAGGATCCCATGTTTGATTCCGGACAAGAACATATGCCAGGGCCCAGGCCTGCGGCCGGCCAGAGGAGAGAATCCTGAGTCAAGGGTGTGGGGCCAAGGCAGAGGAGTTAGGGGCAACAGGCAGGCAGGCAGAGGTGTTAGGGATGATTAGGCAGGCAGGCAAGGAGCCAGCAGTCCTGAATTGCTAGAGGCATATCCAACTGTCAGTTTAGGCCCAAACCCCTATGGACATCCCCTGAGGGGTCCTGGATTGGAGAGGGTGCAGGCCTGGCTGAGGGGCCCCACCCCTCTGTGCATGAATTTCATGCACCAGGCCTCTAGGATGTAATAATTCAGGAAATATAGTTGATGTACTAAAAGAATGACAAAAGTCAAACATCACTCAAACAAAATATTACTGAAATGGCCCAGCAATTTCACTTTTGGATATTTATCCAAAGGAAAGGAAAACACTAAATTAAAGAGATATCTGGGCCCAATTGTTCATTGCAGCACTATTTACAATAGCCAAGACATAAAAACAATCTAAGTGTCCATCAATGGGTTAAATGATAAAGAAAATATGGCATGTATATGCAATGAAATAGTATTCAGCAGTAAAAAAGAGAAATATTGCCATTTGTGACAATGTAGATGGGCTCTGAAGATGTTATGCAGATGAAATAAGTTAGATAAAGAAAGACAATTAACCATATGATTGCACCTATGTCTTAAATCTGAAAAAAAAAAAAAAAGACAAAAATTAGCTCACTGATACAGGTTATCAGAGGTGAGGGTGGGGCATGAGTAACATAAATAAAGGGGGTCAAAAAGTACAAACTTCCAGTTAAAAAATAAGTAAGTTCTGGTGATGTAATAACTGCATGGTGGCTATCCTATATAATAAAAGCCTAAAATGCAAATTGACCAATCGCTATGATGTGCACTGACCACCAGAGGGCAGATTCTCAATGCAGGAGCTGCCCCCTGGTGAGCAGTGTGCTCCCACAGGGGGAGCACTGCTCAGCCAGAAGCCAGGCTTAAGGCTGCTGAGCGCAGCAGCAATGGCAGGAACCTGTCCCGCCTATGGTGCAGCAGCAGCACTAAGGAACACAGAGCCAAGTGGTAAGGAGCAGCAAGCAGACAGGCAATAAGGAGCGAGGGGAGCAAGGACTGTGAGAGAGCGCAGGCCAGGCTGAGGGGGTGCCTCACATCCCCTCCCCTGAAGTGTACAGATTTTGTGCACTGGGCCTGTCATCTATAATAATAAAAGCATAATATGTGAATTACACCAGATGTCTTTCTGGACATCCTTGCAGACAATCTTCGGGAAGAAGCTGAGGCTGCAAGGGAAGCCCGGGTCCTGGGTGCCAGAGGGAAGCCAGTGCCGGCAGCCAGGGGAAGGAAGGCCTACCTACTCTTGCATGAATTTCATGCATCGGGCCTCTAGTAGTAAATAATACAGTATTGCATGAGAACTTAACCAGCACCTCATCTCTGGAGTTAGATGAAGGCAATTGAATGGGGTCCACTGGAGAATCTGGGGACTCAGATTCAGAATCTGGTCAACCTTCAACTTTTACCTTCAACTTTTACCACATTCAAATCAATGGACCAACTGAAAGACTGTGATTAACAATTCATCATTGTTCTGTACTATGCCACTTGCTGGAGTGTGGTTTGAACATCTAGAAGTAGAATTTTAATAATCATTTTAGTCATACTGATTTTTGCACCTATAGAATTTAGTTAAATCTGAAAAATTAGTACCTACAAATAGTTCTCCTATGTTAAGTGACAGAAATGTTTAGGGAGTAAGGTGTCATCATTACAATAATATTATAATTAAATATGAGTTTAAAAGCCTTAAAAATTTTGGTTTGCATATTTTAAAGTTGCTAAGAGAGTAAATCTTAGAAGTTCTTGTCACAATGCCCGGACCGGTTTGGCTCAGTGGATAGAGCGTCGGCTTGGGGACTGAAGGGTCCCGGGTTCGATTCCGGTCAAGGGCATGTACCTTGGCTGCGGGCATATCCCCAGTAGGGGGTGTGCAAGAGGCAGCTGGTCGATGACTCTCTCTCATCGATGTTTCAAACTCTCTATCTCTCTCCCTTCCTCTCTGTATAAAATCAATAAAATATATTAAAAAAAAAAAAAAAAGAAGTTCTTGTCACAAGAAAAAAATTTGTAACTATGTGTGATGATGAATGTTAGCTAGTTATTGCAGTCAACATTTCACAATATACTGTATGTATACATTGGATCATTGTGTGGTAGACCTGAAACTAACAAAGTTATTTGATAACTAGAGGTCTGGTGCACAAAATTGGTGCTCTTGGGGGTAGAGGGTGTTCCTCAGCCAGCCTGTATGCTCTCCAATCTGGGATCCCTCTCACAATCCAGGATTATTGGCTCCCAACCACTCACCTGCCTGCAGCCTGATCCTAACCATTCCCCTACCAGCTTGATCGACACCTAACTGCTCCCCTGCTGGCTCAGTTGCCCCAACTGCCCTCCCTGCAGACCTGATCCCACCCAACTGCCCTCCCCTGCCGACCTAGTCACCCCTAAATGCCCTCCCTCCCTTGCCATCCTGGTCTCCCCTAACTGCCCTCCCTCCCCTGCAGGCCTGGTCTCCCATAACTGCCCTCCCCTGCAGGCCTGGTCCCCCACAACTGTCCTCCCCTGCTGGCCTGGTTTCCCCTAACTGCCCTTCCCTGCCAGCCATCTTGTGGCAGGCATCTTTTTTTTTAATGTGTTTTATTGATTTTTTTAAATATATTTTATTGATTTTTTTATTTTATTTTTTTACAGAGAGGAAGGAAGAAGGATAGAGAGCTAGAAACATCGATGAGAAACGTTAATCAGCTGCCTCCTGCACACCCCCTACTGGGGATGTGCCCAAAACCAAGGTACATGCCCTTGACCGGAATCGAACCTGGGACCATCAGTCCTCAGGCTGACACTCTATCCACTGAGCCAAATTGGTTAGGGTGGCAGCCATCTTTGACCACATGGGGGCAGCCATCTTGTGTGAGGGCATAAGGGTCAATTTGCATATTACCTCTTTATTATATAGGATTGTATATCAATTTAAAAAATAAAAAAGGGTCTTTTTAAAAAATATATTTTATTGATTTTTTTTTACAGAGAGGAAGGGAGAGAGGTGGAGAGTTAGAAACATCGATGAGAGAAACATCAATCAGCTGCCTCCTGCACACCCCCTACTGGGGATGTGCCTGCAACCAAGATACATACCCTTGAC